AGTAATTAAATCGGGTCCCGCCGCCATCTTAAATAACGCGCGACGGTAAATAATCGATTTTGAGCGCGTCGCGTTGAATCAAATTAAATAATTTATAAAAATTAAAATAATAAGTATGTTTACAAAATAATTGACTATATCTATTCGCAATAGTACTGTAAAACACATCGTACTTATAGTTTAGCATTTCTGATAACAATTAATTAATTTTTGAATTTTTTTATATTTTATATATAAAATGCGAATAAAAAAACATAAATGCGTAAAACTTAATTTAAAAAATATCTGCAACTTCAGAAAACACATATATATTATAATCTATCAAAAAAAGTTAGTTAATAATAATTAAAATCGAGAAAAAAAATAAAACTTTCGAGGTAAAATAATTTCTGTGGTAAAAAGTGAGGTAAGCGATCACGTGACGCCCGTCTCCCCATCGTCTATAACCAAAACGGCCGAGGGTGAAATAAAAGCGAAAACATCAGTAGAAGTAAAAACAAACATCGGCGCGTATCTAGGACTATATATTTGAACGGGAGCGAAGATGAAACACGACACTTTGTAATTTATGATAATTACCTTCTAATATTAAAAAATTAAAATCATCAAAAAATTATAACAAAATTAAAATTTTTTGACTAAACTCGACTACAAACATATCTTAGAACTGGATTAAAGTAAAAGTACCCGTTTTTCGACGCTAAATTTTTATTAATTAATTTTTTAAATTGGTGCCTATTTGACCGAGCGCGCGTAATTTAAATTTGACGGAGCACGCGCGTGCCGACGGGTTAAGGAAACACAGACAGATGGACGACAGAGGGAATTTATTGGTTTACAATTTTTTCAAATTGCAGCCCAAAAAAATATTTGTTTTTAAATCATTTGTAAATTAATCTAAATTTCTATTATATACTGCTAAAATTTGGGAGTCATTAAAGAGACAGAGACAATGAGCATTTATAATTGAGGCAGCTTCTTTTAAAATGAAAATGAAAACATGAATCTAACAGGTGAGGTTTTTATGGTAAGATACAAACTGTAGGATGTGAGATAAAGGAACAAGCAGATTATTTTGTCTAAGGTAGATCCTCTTATGGACCAAATTGGTTCTCACTTGTTACTACTAACATATCATGTAATATATAAAAATGTGTGTGTTATTTTAAATTTTAATATTAAAAAAATTTAACAAAAAAATATTATTATAAGTAAATACAAAAATTACTTTTAAAATAAAATCATTTTAATATAACATTCATAAGGAAAATTATTCTGTTTAGGTAAGGGGAAGCGAATTTTCATCTATATCAACATGTTTGAGGCATATGTTAAATGAGGGAGGAATTAAATCTTTATGGAGAGGAAATGGTATCAATGTAGTGAAAATTGCCCCTGAAAGTGCTATTAAGTTTATGGCTTATGAACAAGTAAGTATTAATTAAATTATGAAATACCTAATATGGTCTTGTTTTATGCAGGGGTTGTGCATTAGTAAATACTGTGTAAAACAAAATTCCACGTAAATTTATGCTCCTTCAAGTAGTTCTAGATGATTGCCTAGACACTTATGCAACAATTTGCTATTAACAGAAAAATGTTTAGTAAAATGTTTTAAACACATTTAATGTTTAGACTAAAATGTTTCTGAATATACAGTGTGTAATTTTATTATATTGTATCAATTAGACTACTTAAGAAAAATATACAAATCAAAATACTCAAAAGTAGGCATTTAATAGCATTTAATAGTTTTCTGTAATTTGAATGTTAGAGGTTGATGAGCGTGATTTGCTGACTCCATGAGTCAGATTTAGTGGCATTAAAAGTGGAGTAACCTAACCATTTGTCATCTATATAAACATGAATATGTGTACTACTTTGATCCAAAAGTATCAAGAATGATTCATATAAATTGCACTTGCAAGAGTGTGCTGTCGTCATTTTTTTTGTTTTTTCATTGTCTGGTACAACTTTTATCATCATCTTGCATCAATCTGTGTGTCATTATCTGTTTTCATTTGAAAATAAACATTTGTTTTGTATATAAATAATTTTTGCATTGGCAATTTTTCAAAATGTTGAGTGTAATTCAGCGAAGAACATGCATTAAATTTTGTTCTAGCAATAGAATTACTGCTACAAAAATATTGAAAATGTTGAAAAAAGCCTTTGGTGGTGATGATCTATCAAAAACAAGAGTTTTCAAGTGGTACAAGATGTTCAAGAAAGGCAGAGAATATTTTGAAGATGAACCATGCTCTGGTAGATCATCCACTTAAACTGATGAACAACACATTGTTCAAGTCAGAGATTTGGTGCTTGATGATCATTGTTTAACAATTAGGGACATTATTTAACATGATCCGGTATCATTTGGATTTTGTCAAGCAATTTTAAAAGGTCATTTGGGCTTGTGGCACATCATTTCTCAAGTTGTCCTGAAAATATCGAATTTTTTCCAAAAACATGGCCAAGAAAATGCTTTCTCAAGGCAAATTATTCTTAAACCACATTACAATGATGAAACATGGATCTATGCTTTTACATTAAAAGAACACAACAATAAAATGAATGGCACTTAAAAGTTGAAGCAAGACCAAGTAAAAAATCAAGATCGTGTTTTCTTTGACTATCGTGGTGTTGTGCATCATGAATTCCTCACAATATTCTTATTGTTTGTCAATTTTGGCCAAGAATTCAACAAATACAATTACACAAGCTCTGTATTCACATGATAAATTCATCATGTGACTTTTCTGTTTCCTCAGCTAAAATTTCCACTTCATGGTCACTGTTATGGATTGCTTGATGCCATAAAACAAAATTTGCTGCAAGTCCTGAAGGGGTTTCATGAAAATGACTTTTCTAATCTTCAAAACATACTTAAAAAACAGCATAAGTTCATTGCAGTGGGAGGGTTACTTTGAAGGAGACGAAATAAATTTTTACAAATAAATTCAAATCTTTTTCAAAGCATTTTATTGAACCATTCCAATACTTTTTCATTATAGGCATATATCAACTCTGCATAAAACAAGATTCTTCTGTATTTATCACTGCAAATGTTTTTAACAAATTTATTTATATACTTATTTTAAAATTTTGATAGACAAAACGAATAATCAAAGGAAATAGAGCGCGTGAATTGAGTATTTATGAGAGGTTCATGGCAGGTTCCATAGCTGGTGGCATTTCCCAAACTGTGATTTATCCCATGGAAGTAAGAATTATTTTATATTAATTTTTGTATTGCTTTGATTTGTACATTATTTCAATCCTTTTTTTCTTATTTATTATATATATTATCCTCATTAAACATATGGAATATTTTATTATGTAATTAATTACATTTGGTATGTAAATTCTATAGACTTTCCTAAAAAATGCACTTGCATATTGTTTGGTAAATTTCAGGAGAGATTCTATAAAATAATAGTCATTTTAATTAATCAAGAAATTGTCTGAAATTTTACTATTGATAACTAAGTTGTATTTAGGGATTATTTATAAAATGTTATAATAGAAAATCTNTATACTTCAGATGTTAATTTAGTATCAAAAACGTAAAATATTTGAGTAGCCCGAGAAATAGCTGAAGATTGCAGCGCCACAGCACTAGCAAAAATTTAAATTTGACTACTGGAATGTTTTTGGATAATGGACGTTTCGGATAACCAGCTTTTGGATAAACGATGCTCTACTGTATTTAAATTGCACATAATGAAAAAATGTATTTTTTACAGTTATCATTAACTACTAATGTAGGAGTATAAATATAAAAAATAACTACTTAAAAATAAATTTAAAAGTTTATAGTATAAATGTTACATTTTTATATTTTATTATTAATATAAATTTGAATAGTAAATCATTTGACCTTAAAATGCCATATTTCATAGAATCTAGTTTTAATTCTCAGAGTTGGAGGAAATATAGTAAGTTTAAATATCAACTTTATAATCCTTTAATGTACATGTTAAATCTTTTTTCTAGAATACGTAATTGCATTCTCTGTAAATAATGATAAGTTACTACTCTGTTTGTATTTAGTGATAAAACAAAATACTTATAGATTACCTCCTCATATGCAATCATTTACAAGTATCATGTTTTAAATATTAGATTGATAGTTTGTTTGATAATAACCAGATGAAGTTTATTTCTAGGGCAATTATACAAACAAAAATCAAAACTCAGGATAATATTGAATAAAGAAGTTTTATATTATGTAAATATTTTTAATAATAATATTATAAATAATAAATGTTATTTTATATTTATTTTAAGCAATATGCTTGCCCTAATTGATGATCTTGTCAGCAAATAATTCCAATAATGATTAAATATGATTACTGGAAAAGGCACAATTCGGAATACTGTATATCTAAAACACACTTCAAAATGTATACTTGGTTTTTCCCTCCAATACTAAACACAAGTTTTTATTAAAAACAGCTGTGATTAGTATTGAATTTGATATTTAAATCTTTTAAAAATCAGTTAAACTTTCTAATTTGTTAAAAAAAATAAACTTCTTACATTGAAATAAATATTTTTATTTTATGAAAAATGAAGAAAATATATTCAGAGTTTATAAGATAATTGTAATGAAACGATTAAACATATCTGATTAGAATATGATGAAATATGGTAAAGAAATTTGTTTACTCAGAGATAGTTGTGCAAGGTTCACACTGGCATCTGACGTGTAATCATCATTTTTTTACACAACTTGCTGTTTTTAATATTTTAAGTCAATTTTGACTCAAAACTTTTTACTGAAACTGATTTTTCAATATTTATTTATTTTTATGGCAACTTTAACTTTTCTGAATTCTAACTGATTTTATAGCTCTCTTATATTAACACATGTCATTATTCCATTATTCTTGCATGGAATTACAAAAATGGAGTAAAAATGAAAGAGATACATCAATTAAACCTTATCACATATAGCATATGTGATAAGGAATGTATACGTGATAAGGAATGTAAGGAAAATATAGTGAAATGTATACTTTATAAGGTTTATGCTCTGTATTGCATGAAAACAAACAAATGATAATGAATATTAATTAATTTAATTTTACACCTTCCTTATGTCTTCCAGCATACTTGATTAAAAACAAACCTTTTTGGCTTAGTTTACGGGCTTTCTTCAGGTTCTATACATTTGAAACAAATTGTATATTGAGTATTGCAAAACTGGAATGTTCTGATCCTTAAAATGACTTTTACTTTCCTGGCTGTTATATATACATAACAAGTATTGGAACCGTGTCAAATTTGACCCTCCAAGTTTTTTGCAAATCTCCATGTTTTGAGATTTCCTGAATCCTGAAAAGTAAAAAAACGGCAAAAAATTCCGTGTGTGTGTTGGCATCTATTTTGCATATCTCAGGATGAAGTAAACATTAAGAAATGAAATTTTGCATAATTGCTTGTATATGAGGGCATTGATGCTATTAAATTTTGGTGGTTAAAGATCAAGAGAGTGAGGAAATAAAGGGGTTTCATGTGTCATACCTTGAGAGGGGATAGGACTTAATGAAGATTTTATTTATTATTAACATTTATCAAAATATATAAAATTACTTGTCCTGACTGACTGATTGATTCATCATTGCCTAGAGAAAACTGCTGAACCTGGAGGTGAAATTTGGTACACAGTTAGTGTACATCATGAAAACGCACACTAAGAAGGGATTTTTCGAAATTCCCCCTGCGGGGGAGAGGGAGAGCATTAAGGTTTAACTTGAAGGATGGCTTCTACTGTACTATTTTAGATGTGATTTTTTTTTTGTTTTTAAGTACATTTAGTCTTCATTGAGTACTTAGGTGTATTAAATTGATAACATTTTAGACATTGTTATAAATATTTTTGTATATTTTGATTTTTTAACCAAATGTTCGAACCGTTTTAAATTCAAATTTGTTATTGCATATTGGTTTGATTATAGAACAATTGTAGACGTTCCAGAAAATTGATCAAATTGAAAACAGTTCATTTGATTCTCAGCAATTTTCATCATTCTCAGCAGTAGGTGTTATATAACAATTACTATGGTTGTTGAAATACTGAATATAAATGGGGTTTGCTTGCAAAATCCATGTGGGTAAGTCATGGGTAACAGCTAGTACTTTTATAAAACCCTACTATGAGAAGCTGCCTTGCAGTGCCTAGTGAGAATTTCATCAGGTGATTCTCTGTCACAAGGTGATCCATTGGCCATCATATGAGTCATCACAATATGGTGACGACTTGGACAAAGCTTTATTTCTCTTGTGTCCTTATTTAAGTATTGTGACCCCCACACACACAATCTGTCATTATTGTTTGTTAATCTAAACATTCCGACAGGAACAAAAGGGGGGTCTCCAGAATCTCGCACTACCCTCAAAATTAAGCTTTTTGCCATTGTATAGTAATTAAAAAAATTATAATTTTTATAACAAAATCTCATAACAGATGGCAACATACACATTTTATTTATTTTGTTTAGTAATATAAAAGTTCTGGATTTTTTTTAAAAGATTTTCTTTAAATCAAATAATTAAATGCATTGAATTAAAAATAACATAAACAAATAAATAAATAAAAATAATTACATATGTGAATATAATTTTATTTTTGTATTTGTTTATTTTTAATTTGATGCATTAGATCAGAGATCAGCAATGCAGCGCCTGTGGTGCATTTCAGATGTGCTCTCCAGAACCATAATCACACAAGCACAAATATATATACTTGTAATTTAATTTAATTTTTATTTTGTGTTATTTTATGTACTGTACATACATTTAATTTTTAGTTATTACATGCATGTATAATCTTTATTTTGTATAACTATACATATTTAACAATAACACCAACAAACCTTTATAATTACCAGCAAATAAAGTTTTTAATATACTTTGACAAATGCTTTCAATCCTAATTGGGATCTGGATCTGATACCTATTTCAAAACAATTATTTTGTTTATTTATTACAACATTATGATTTTTTTCAAAAATCAAACTATGCACCCTTAGTAACAAAAAAGATTGCCGACCCCTGCATTAGATTATTTGATTCAAAAAATATATTCACCTTTTTAAAGAAAGTTGGGTTAAAGGTCAGAAACATTGCAGTTTTGGAACACTCAGTATATCCTTTGATTTGAATGTGTAGAATCTGAAGCAAGCCCACAAACTAGGCCAAAAACATATTTTTAATAAAGTATTGCTGGAAGACATAAGGAAGGTGTGAAATTAATTATTGTTATGTTCTGGCTTTGAACAACACATTGCTTAAATGATAATGAAAACTGAAAAATTAAACAATTCAGCTAAGCTCTACAGTTTACTCTATCTGAAAACAATATCAGTAACAATTTGCAGCAATTGCTGAAACTTGTTATTTTAAAAATAGACAAAACCACTTTGATGTTTCTATTGATTATAGACAACCTCATATAATTGTTGTGTGTCTCAGTGTAATTCCAATAATAAAAAAGTCTAGGTTTGAAATTCACAAATTTCCAAATGAATCAAAAACCAATCCATTGATTGGATTGGTTTTTGATTCATTTGGAAATTTCAAAAATTTAAATCCAATCAATGGATCATCATCAGGTTAATCAGAATTAACCTGATGATGATCCATTGATTGGATTGAAAATGTTTGTTTTAAGAATAAATCTCTCAGCGAGTGATCAGGTGTTGATTAAGTTATTATTTTCTGCTGAGTACGCTTTGGTTGTTTATTTTGATGATGATTCTAATTTTCTTGGATTTGTATTGATCCATTTATGCAGTCTAGAATTTGTGCATTTATGTGTTTAATTTATAATTTGATGAGCATAAATGATGGCATAATGTAATCAGAAAAAATCATTCAGGCAACATGTTGCAATTCTGCAACAATCCTACAAATTGAGAAAAAAATGTTTTTTAACAACAAGGACAAAATTATATTAAATGGCCAAAGTTTTTGTCTTTTTTTGTCCATAAAAAAAAGAGCATGGCCCAGTGTGATATTTTATGCTTTTCTATTGTGGCAACTTAATGTGTTAGTTTGTATAACACCTATATTAATGTTCAACAAAGGAAGAAATCTAAAGATGATGTGTAAAAATTATATATATATATACTTTTTAATGTTTAAAATAGATTTTTTAACATTAAAAAATTACCTTGACTGAAACTTTGTAGCCAAATGCAATTTGGTTGTGCAATGTGATTCATTTAAACTAAATTGTGTATGATTAAAATTGAACTTCGGGAAAATAATTTTCTTTCTTTCTTTATCAATTTTAAAAGAGGAGTTTAATATTTCAATAGTTTTAGAAACATTGACTTACAATAGGAAAAAAATTAGAAAATTTGAACAGTTTGAATATAATTGTTCTATTATAACAAATATATTTTTATTGATAATTAATTAAATATTTTCTATAAAAAAAGAAAACAGCAATGAATATAATTTTCTTATATACAGAATAATTGAATTAATAATAAACAAAAGATTTTATATGGAGATAAAATAAAACAATTACAAGCAATTATTTATTGTGACAACATCACAATGCTGGGCTACAATTTTTAATTAATTTAATTTGAAATATATGCTCTCCACTTCAAATTAGTAGTAGCTTGATCCTGTACATCATACTTTTTCTTTAACGATAGAGTCATGCTGGTCATTTATTTACTGCTTTTAGGGGAAATGTTTTGAATTGAAATAATGTGACTTTCAGTTTGCATCAATAGTTCGTATATGGTTAATTGGGGCCTCTGCTGCTAAGGTTTCCATATCTGGTCTCAGATTTCATCTATCTAATTCCGTTCTTGAGATTAACCCGTCGGCACGCGCCTAGTGCCGATTAGGCACCAATCGATTTTTAATTAGTTCGTGTAAAAATCCTAATTGTGTGAAAAATCTGAAAAAATTATTACCTGTCTAATTTTTCTTCAATTTTACGATACGCAATTCAGTTTTTGCTTAAAGCGTCTCATTATTTTTATTTAATTATTGGTGCCGAATCGGCACTATGGCGCGCATGATCTCGGATTTCAATTTTCAAATTTCCCGCCAGTCGCTGTTACTAAAAATAGCTGCAGCTACGGCGCGCGCTTCTTCGCTTATAATCGCGTTATTATAAAGCGAATAACTTCTAAAAAACTGAAATTTGACCGAAAATAATTTAATTTCTTTCATTGGTATTTTTTAATCATTTTATAAAGTTTTATGACACCATCACATTTCCCTGAGTGGAAGTAACCAATTTGTTAACCATTTGACCCTCGGCTGACAGAGAAGGAAGTTTTTGAAAACAAAGTAATAGAGCGTTTAGCAGTTTGTTGTTTTTCACAGTGGAAGACTAGTAAGTTTATATAATAGACTCTAGTAAGACTTATTAGAGTCTATTATTTTCCAGAGAATAAATAATAGAGTTGAAAAATAGCACAATTCCGTGAAATTTAACAAATCTGATGTCAATAAAGGAAAGTTGAAGTTATTTATAGTGAGTTGATATTTTATAAGTTTAGTTTTTGCATTTATAAATCAAATTTTAAAAAATATAAATTTTTTATTTAAATAAATTTAAATAAAAAAATAGAATTTTTATTATTTAAATATAAATTCTATATTTTAACAAGTATTTTATACTGTTAGATAGTAGAGAAATCGAGTATTTAAGCATTTACTGTATATCAGTAAAAATAAAAAAATTGCGTTAATTTGGTTTATATATTTTGCCGTTACATTGCGCATGTAAGCTTTAAACTACAGTCAGAAATATATATTATTTTTATATGAATTTATTAATTATAATAAACATACATTATGTCTAAAATTTAATTAAAATAGCACTCTCTAATTAACATCTTAAATGAAGAAGTAATTAAATCGGGTCCCGCCGCCATCTTAAATAACGCGCGACGGTAAATAATCGATTTTGAGCGCGTCGCGTTGAATCAAATTAAATAATTTATAAAAATTAAAATAATAAGTATGTTTACAAAATAATTGACTATATCTATTCGCAATAGTACTGTAAAACACATCGTACTTATAGTTTAGCATTTCTGATAACAATTAATTAATTTTTGAATTTTTTTATATTTTATATATAAAATGCGAATAAAAAAACATAAATGCGTAAAACTTAATTTAAAAAATATCTGCAACTTCAGAAAACACATATATATTATAATCTATCAAAAAAAGTTAGTTAATAATAATTAAAATCGAGAAAAAAAATAAAACTTTCGAGGTAAAATAATTTCTGTGGTAAAAAGTGAGGTAAGCGATCACGTGACGCCCGTCTCCCCATCGTCTATAACCAAAACGGCCGAGGGTGAAATAAAAGCGAAAACATCAGTAGAAGTAAAAACAAACATCGGCGCGTATCTAGGACTATATATTTGAACGGGAGCGAAGATGAAACACGACACTTTGTAATTTATGATAATTACCTTCTAATATTAAAAAATTAAAATCATCAAAAAATTATAACAAAATTAAAATTTTTTGACTAAACTCGACTACAAACATATCTTAGAACTGGATTAAAGTAAAAGTACCCGTTTTTCGACGCTAAATTTTTATTAATTAATTTTTTAAATTGGTGCCTATTTGACCGAGCGCGCGTAATTTAAATTTGACGGAGCACGCGCGTGCCGACGGGTTAAGGAAACACAGACAGATGGACGACAGAGGGAATTTATTGGTTTACAATTTTTTCAAATTGCAGCCCAAAAAAATATTTGTTTTTAAATCATTTGTAAATTAATCTAAATTTCTATTATATACTGCTAAAATTTGGGAGTCATTAAAGAGACAGAGACAATGAGCATTTATAATTGAGGCAGCTTCTTTTAAAATGAAAATGAAAACATGAATCTAACAGGTGAGGTTTTTATGGTAAGATACAAACTGTAGGATGTGAGATAAAGGAACAAGCAGATTATTTTGTCTAAGGTAGATCCTCTTATGGACCAAATTGGTTCTCACTTGTTACTACTAACATATCATGTAATATATAAAAATGTGTGTGTTATTTTAAATTTTAATATTAAAAAAATTTAACAAAAAAATATTATTATAAGTAAATACAAAAATTACTTTTAAAATAAAATCATTTTAATATAACATTCATAAGGAAAATTATTCTGTTTAGGTAAGGGGAAGCGAATTTTCATCTATATCAACATGTTTGAGGCATATGTTAAATGAGGGAGGAATTAAATCTTTATGGAGAGGAAATGGTATCAATGTAGTGAAAATTGCCCCTGAAAGTGCTATTAAGTTTATGGCTTATGAACAAGTAAGTATTAATTAAATTATGAAATACCTAATATGGTCTTGTTTTATGCAGGGGTTGTGCATTAGTAAATACTGTGTAAAACAAAATTCCACGTAAATTTATGCTCCTTCAAGTAGTTCTAGATGATTGCCTAGACACTTATGCAACAATTTGCTATTAACAGAAAAATGTTTAGTAAAATGTTTTAAACACATTTAATGTTTAGACTAAAATGTTTCTGAATATACAGTGTGTAATTTTATTATATTGTATCAATTAGACTACTTAAGAAAAATATACAAATCAAAATACTCAAAAGTAGGCATTTAATAGCATTTAATAGTTTTCTGTAATTTGAATGTTAGAGGTTGATGAGCGTGATTTGCTGACTCCATGAGTCAGATTTAGTGGCATTAAAAGTGGAGTAACCTAACCATTTGTCATCTATATAAACATGAATATGTGTACTACTTTGATCCAAAAGTATCAAGAATGATTCATATAAATTGCACTTGCAAGAGTGTGCTGTCGTCATTTTTTTTGTTTTTTCATTGTCTGGTACAACTTTTATCATCATCTTGCATCAATCTGTGTGTCATTATCTGTTTTCATTTGAAAATAAACATTTGTTTTGTATATAAATAATTTTTGCATTGGCAATTTTTCAAAATGTTGAGTGTAATTCAGCGAAGAACATGCATTAAATTTTGTTCTAGCAATAGAATTACTGCTACAAAAATATTGAAAATGTTGAAAAAAGCCTTTGGTGGTGATGATCTATCAAAAACAAGAGTTTTCAAGTGGTACAAGATGTTCAAGAAAGGCAGAGAATATTTTGAAGATGAACCATGCTCTGGTAGATCATCCACTTAAACTGATGAACAACACATTGTTCAAGTCAGAGATTTGGTGCTTGATGATCATTGTTTAACAATTAGGGACATTATTTAACATGATCCGGTATCATTTGGATTTTGTCAAGCAATTTTAAAAGGTCATTTGGGCTTGTGGCACATCATTTCTCAAGTTGTCCTGAAAATATCGAATTTTTTCCAAAAACATGGCCAAGAAAATGCTTTCTCAAGGCAAATTATTCTTAAACCACATTACAATGATGAAACCTGGATCTATGCTTTTACATTAAAAGAACACAACAATAAAATGAATGGCACTTAAAAGTTGAAGCAAGACCAAGTAAAAAATCAAGATCGTGTTTTCTTTGACTATCGTGGTGTTGTGCATCATGAATTCCTCACAATATTCTTATTGTTTGTCAATTTTGGCCAAGAATTCAACAAATACAATTACACAAGCTCTGTATTCACATGATAAATTCATCATGTGACTTTTCTGTTTCCTCAGCTAAAATTTCCACTTCATGGTCACTGTTATGGATTGCTTGATGCCATAAAACAAAATTTGCTGCAAGTCCTGAAGGGGTTTCATGAAAATGACTTTTCTAATCTTCAAAACATACTTAAAAAACAGCATAAGTTCATTGCAGTGGGAGGGTTACTTTGAAGGAGACGAAATAAATTTTTACAAATAAATTCAAATCTTTTTCAAAGCATTTTATTGAACCATTCCAATACTTTTTCATTATAGGCATATATCAACTCTGCATAAAACAAGATTCTTCTGTATTTATCACTGCAAATGTTTTTAACAAATTTATTTATATACTTATTTTAAAATTTTGATAGACAAAACGAATAATCAAAGGAAATAGAGCGCGTGAATTGAGTATTTATGAGAGGTTCATGGCAGGTTCCATAGCTGGTGGCATTTCCCAAACTGTGATTTATCCCATGGAAGTAAGAATTATTTTATATTAATTTTTGTATTGCTTTGATTTGTACATTATTTCAATCCTTTTTTTCTTATTTATTATATATATTATCCTCATTAAACATATGGAATATTTTATTATGTAATTAATTACATTTGGTATGTAAATTCTATAGACTTTCCTAAAAAATGCACTTGCATATTGTTTGGTAAATTTCAGGAGAGATTCTATAAAATAATAGTCATTTTAATTAATCAAGAAATTGTCTGAAATTTTACTATTGATAACTAAGTTGTATTTAGGGATTATTTATAAAATGTTATAATAGAAAATCTTTTTAAATGAATACACACATTTCATTCTAATTTATATAATAGAACAATTTTAATAAAATTACTAAAATTAAGAAAGAAAATAGTATTTGTTTTCTTTATAATAATAATAATAATAAATTCTATTGTTTGACTTATTACATATGTCTTACGATGTATAAAATAAGAGAATATTATAGTAGTTGTTCCCTTAATATTTATATTTTAATAAATACAATTTAAATGAATAAAATTGTGATTTTAGAAAATTATATTTTTAATAGTTATATGAAATAATATCTTTTCAAATTTATTTGTTGACTTTTGATAGATAGCATGCAAATTAAATAAACAATTAATATCTTGTTTAAAAATAAATTTTGATTAGGAGTTATCGGATGAATTCTATTAGTAAAAAGGATTAAGTTTCACATAACAAATGTAATGTTTGTTTTTATGAAACAACTTCACTATTTCATAACTAAACTGTGATGAAGTGATTGATAAGATATTAAATATTGATGTATATTATTAAATTTTTCAAAGATGATAAGTGAATAACATCAAGTTGAACCTTTTATTTACACTTTTTAAGTGACCTCAGGAAAAAAGTTTAAACTAAGGATATATATATATATATATATAATGTAATAATGTATTAATGTAATAATGTATTAATTTTTACTTATGATACTCTATATTGTAAATTTAATCATATGTAAGGTTTCGTAGGTTATGGAAATAAAAAAGTCAAATACACTACTAAAATAAGATTAAAATTGTTATTTCACACTTTTTAAAATTTTCATCTACATGATCTACTTTATATGGGGATTTGAATATATTTTCTTTTTTACTATTAAAAATCAAACATTTTTGTTTGGTTTGTTAACATTTGAAAAACACAAAGATGTTTTCTAAGTAACTGTTTCACCTGTTGTGTCTTCTTCAGTGTTATCAACTTCTTAATATTTTGATATTTTATTATTGAATTTCATTAAGTATTCAGATGTAACTAAAGCACTGTCACTATCAAAATAATCATTAAACTTTTCCAAGTTGTCAGTTTAGAAAGTATTATTTGAAAGTGAGATGAATTTAATATTCATTCAAACCTAATTTAACTTTTTTAAAATTTTACTATTGCTGACTTTCATTTTATCCCATGGATTTTCAATGAAGTGTATTGCATCAAGAATGTTTAGTTTTGTTTCAGTTTTGGAATTTTCACCTAGTAGATATCTATTATTTTATGCACTCCATTTCCTGTAGTGTGTTTTAAATGTTTTAAGTTTCAAATCAAGATATTGTAGGTCGATAGTACAATTTGAAGGTATGAGTTCAGTTTATCAGGTTCGCTTCAGGCTTGGATATCTGTCAGAAATGAAAACATTATTCTGTTATTGTAATCCATTTCTGCATCTAATGAATGCAAATATCCTGAAAATGTTTTTATGTCATCCATGCTTTTCCAATGGATTTTATAGCATGATATATTTTATAATATTTTTCAGTCATCAATTTGGCTGACTTGCCTATTACTACTGGCTTTAAATTTTTCAATTCCAGTAGCATTAACTCCTAATAGAACTGTCAATCTCTGTTTATTCATTTTGTTTCCATGATACTTCTCTCCACCAAAAAAAGTTTTTCCAGGTAGAAAACTGACAACTTTGTTTCATTAACATTTAATATGGCTTCAGGTTTACAGTTACCACAAAACAAATTTGATTTAGATCCTGTATTCATTCTTGGTTAAATAATTACTTCCTTGCATGCTCTAGTAAAATTAAAACAGGTGAATACAATCATACCCAGCAAAAATAAACAAATAACGTGACCACCACCTTATTGCTTGCTGAGGGAGTTTTATTAAAATCGAACGCTTTCGATCCACTTAACGGATCATCATCAGGATAGAATATACTAAAATGGAATACAACATAAATGGAACAATATGTTCAAAAATTCAAAAATATCCATAAACTGATAATATATCAATTAATAAAAATAAATAATAAATTGTAAACGATACCAAATAATAAATAATATACTACGACGACCAAACATTAATAATAAGTTTCCTTTAAATCAAACAAATATCATATTTCAGTTGATGCGCTACTTGTAAGCTTCTTAACGGCAAATTTCCAAGCCGAGGGAAGACCTTCCGCATCCCTAGCATTAATGCATCCGTCTTTAAGTTTGCTCCTGTATATCTCCATTTTTTCGGCCGTCCTCGCCAAGGTTGGTGAGTGCACCTGTCTCACGACTTCCGCTTCCTCCCATCCAATCAGGGATCCTTGGGCCTGCGCCATCTGGGCCAATATTGTTGTATTAGACCCTTTTCTAGCATCATACTTNATTTATTATTTGGTATCGTTTACAATTTATTATTTATTTTTATTAATTGATATATTATCAGTTTATGGATATTTTTGAATTTTTGAACATATTGTTCCATTTATGTTGTATTCCATTTTAGTATATTCTGTCCTGATGATGATCCGTTAAGTGGATCGAAAGCGTTCGATTTTAATAAAACTCCCTCAGCAAGCAATAAGGTGGTGGTCACGTTATTTGTTTAAAACAGGTGATTTTGAATTCCTTGATTTCCATCCAATCTGTGGCATCCAGCAAAGATCAACGCTAAGCAGCCTTAATGTTTTCAGCCACTTTAATTCACATGTTGTAACCTATGCTGATGACATTAAACTAATAAATCATGACCCTGTTTCTTTACAGTCAGATTTAAACACAGTATTCAAATTATTTGAAAAGGCTAACTTAAGAATTAATGTCTGAAAAAAAAAAAAAAAAAAACGGTTACACAATGTGCTTTTCATTAACCAGAAATTTATCCTTTCTGTCCTTTGTTATTTGTATTGAATATATAAATTATGTCAACTCCATAAATGTTCTAGGCATTATTTTTGATAGTAAACTTTGTTTTGAAACTCCTTTTGAAAGAATAGTTAAATCCCTTTCCATTCAGTGTGGAACCTCTTTGCCATTTGATATCTTTCAAAATTGCTTTATATTCCATTTTCTTTGTTAATTTTCAATTGCTTATTGATTACTAGTAGCCCAGGACGCCCCCTAGTGGGTGTTCCAGCAGCATTACAAATTCCTGAGGCATGTTTAATGCACTTAATATATGAAAGTTGTGTGCGCTTAATGTTTAAAAGTTTTATGCAGTTAATATATATAAATGTATACAATTCTTCATCTTAGAAACTAAACTTAAAATATCAATACACAAACAGCCAACAGTATTTGTACATGAGAAAGTGAATCTATTCTTTACTCAAAATTGTTCAAATAAATAGAATTAATATGATTAAAAAATCAAGTATAAATATATACAAATGTTCATGTTAAAAAGTAATGTTAACAGATCAATACACAGCAAATAGTATTTCTGTATTACAGACTGAAGATATTCTTTAGCTGTGTTCTGTATTCCATCATTTATCCCATCATAAAACTTCTGTATACACAACATTGTTGGTAAAAAAAGTATAATTATTTGGAATCAATTTGCCTTGTTGTGACATTTTGTCTTCTGTGTCGTTTTGCTTCTGCCTGCCTGTGCAACATTGCAGATCTGAGCTCATGAGTTTCATTCTGCAAGCCTCCACGTGTTGATTGTGCTATTCTCTGTAATGTTTCCTGCGCACGTCTCTCCCTTTGTCTCGCAGCAGTGGCAGCTTTACGTTCCCCCACAGTGGCGTATTTCTTTGGTCGTGCCATGAAAGGTTTCTATTATTATATTAAAATATTAGCTTAACTATTTCACTTATCGTTTTATCGTAGCGGTTCAAATCTGTCCGGTTTTTCGTTATTCGCCCCCTAGTGAACATTACAGGCATTCCGTGACAATAATAAATTCCTATTACAAATATACTGAATTATTTATATTGTTATATTGACCAAATAATAATTTATTGGCGAAATGAATAATAATAATTTATATTGTTAATTTAAATAATAATTAAACTTGTTAATTTAATTTGAATGTTTGAAATATGACACACGATAGGGGCGCCTCTAGTGTCGGTTATCAAACGGTTATGGGACGGACGGACGGAAGGAAGGACGGACACCTGTTGAATGGGTTATATATATAGATTGTATACCAATCTGGTCAATGGCTGTCCCCCTTTCTGTTAGAGAAAATCACAGAAGAACTAAATAAAATATACCTAACCTTAAATAAATTCTGTAATTTACCTTTTACAACCATCATAACATTGCTAGGTCCAGATTGGGTTTTCCTTCATTTACTAATTGTGTAAAATACTTTGATCAATTATTACATCACAGATATTTTTTTATGTATTTCATTTGGAGTTTAAATGTTAATTAGGAAGAGGAAATTTATTGTTGTAAGACTTTTCCTAATGTGATTGAAATAAATAAATTTTCTTCTTTCACTCTTTCAGTTTCAGAATACTACACTTTTACTCAACACTCAATTTTGTAGCCAAGTAATGCCTTCATTTAAAATGATCTATTCATTGAAATGCTTAGCCAATTTGTGAGGCTTACTCTTGTTTCTACTTTGAATCCATTTCTTTCAATTATTATAATTTCTCTTCCAGTGAAAAAGTATTTTTTTTTTTTTGTTAGTTTTCATTTTCTTTGTTGTGGGGTTGAAAAAGACCAACTAGTGAGATCATTTGGAAGAGGAGGAAATAATCATGTACAGTACAAAATTTGAATTAACAATGGTAGATAAGTAGCATCATCTACACTATCAAAGTTTATTTATTTTATGTTAATTTTCTTTTTTGTTTTTGGAAATATGATTTGAAAAAATTATAGATTTAATCGATCAAAATGTGTAAATTATGAGAATATATAAAAATCGACATATAATTTATGGGAAAATGTATACATAAATTGTAGGAAAAATTGGAATCAAAAAATATCATGTAAAAATTGTGAGAAAACACTAATTCCACATGTTTAATTTATGAAATTATTGATTATAATTATCATAAAATCTTTTCAGGTGTTAAAAACAAGACTTGCTTTAAGAAAAACTGGTCAATATTCTGGTATTTGGGATGCAGCAACAAAGATATATCGTCATGAAGGCATGAGGAGTTTTTACAGGGGGTATATCCCCAATCTTTTAGGAATCATTCCATATGCAGGGATTGATCTTGCTATTTATGAGGTAAGTTATGCCACCATTTTGAGCATTTCATAGATAACTGTTTTACTTTGTTTCCTTCTTGAATAGAAATAATAATATAAGGAGGTTCCAAGCTTATATCAGGGATGCATTCTTGGAATACATGCCATTAGTCATTGTAAGTTGAAATATAATTTTCCATAACTGCAATATTATGAATTGCAGATATGTTATTGATATAGATGCAGAATGTTGCTTAATTCTTTATGGACAAGCAGCATTGTTTAACAAGAGCTTATTGATACTAAGTTGTGATTTCCATTGATAAACAATACATCTCATTTAAAAACTTTTTTTGTGTTAAAACATTAATAAACAATTTCTTGTAGTCAAAGTAAAGAACTCATATAAAATTTATAAACATACTAAATCATTTTACATTAATTTTATTTATAATGTGGTAAAGTTAATATAAAAATTATTAGGTGTATTTTAACAGCAGCACTAAGTAGCTATTGATTAATTAATTGATCTATTTATGTTAATAATCTAACAATGGTTGAATGGAATTACTAACAAACTATTAAATTTTATTTTAAATTATTTCTGATTTAAACAGTGTATTATTCTTGTTTTGAATACTGAATTTGAATTTATTATAAAAATGTTTGGATATATTTTAGGAATATGTTAATTTTTTAAAAGATATAATATAATTTGCATTTAACAAATCAGAGAATTCAATTAGATGTAATTAAAATTTTAAAATATTAAAGTTGAATAATACTAATGATAATTTTCTGTTAATTATATTGGACATTTTAATAGTAAATAACTAATGATCAGTTCAGTATCATACAACATACATTAATTTGATGTGAAGAAAAAATACAAAGTTTTCAATGAAGAGAACTCAAGATTAGAGATGAATATAAACCCTTTTTTTAAATGTCTGTTAATGCATGTTTGATACTGTTTTACTCCAAGCTATAAACAGACATTATATTCGAATTGTAAGTTTTGGTATGAATAAATAATACATTATGTTTGGAAATTAGATTTTACATAGACCTGCTATGCTTATTAGATCTTCTTTAACAATACTTTAGTCATAATTTTTCTAGGAAATATTTTAAAACATGTTAGCCCATATCATTATTAATGTACATTGTTTTTCCAAACTTTATTTAATGCAGAAAAAAATTTAGTTGTCTTTTACTATATAACACTAATTATGTATCATTAAATATATTTTTAACCTATCTTGTGAACAATATCTTGTCCCATTGCACGAATCTGTCATTGTTTTGAATGGGAGCAGCTTTTCCTTTCTGGACAATAAGGGATTTATTCTCCAAATTCTTTTAACTAAGGCTGGATGCATATTGATGCAGCAAAAACATTTTTTGATTAAACATGCTTGAAACTTTTTCTAATGATTTGCACTGTCCCCAATAAAATGCACACATTTCTGGTGAACATTTTCTTGTATACATTAGTAGTTGATTAGAGGCTTTCCATAAATAGTTCATATTTACATGTGTAGTTGATTTGTAATAAACTATGGCAATAGATGCAGAGAAGTTAATTGTTGTAACCTTCTTTATATGATTTTACTTTGTGATTCTTCCTGATATAGTGAGTAGTGTTGAAATTGCAGCAGCAGATCACTGCAAATGCATGGAAAAAGTGTAGCAAGACATTTTGCATAAAGATCTGCATCACAATGCATCCAGCCTAAATGAGACATAACATACAAGTTTTAGCTTTTATTCATTATTTGACTTAATTAAACAAATTCTTTAATAAAAGTGGTTTTTTGCTATTAAATAATGTATCATTTTCATTTTTGACATGAAATAGAACATTTTCAATCAAATGTTTAAAAATCCAGAATCAAACTATCAAAGAGCATTCATCATTTTGTCAGACTAGAATTCTTGGGTCAAATCCATTTCAGATTCTCTGAGTGATTGGATCCAATTTCTTTGTGTGCTAAAATCCAAAATCAAAGCTGGAACTGATAACTTGTAGAATCATTCATGCTTTTTCAGAAAATTTTAGTTTTAAACTTGAGACAGGTTTATAAAATAAACTGAAAATGCTTGTTCATTAAACCCATTTGCTGTAAGTGTTAATGGTTTTGATTTTAGAAGTCCTATTTCTTATCACAGTTATTCTGTTGAAAGCTTGTAATTTACAAGACAAAATGATGTTTTAAACTCATCAGTATTTCCTGCTGTTAAAGTATTTATCATTTACAAATTGAAAATTCAAATAAATCCCAGTTACATTAGCTTACAGTAAAATTTGTTACAATTGAGCCTGCCCATCTTAAATCTTGTGGGAATGAGGAAAAAAATTCAAGATTAAAAGGTTTTGAAAAACTGTGGACCTTTTATAAAGTATGTACTCTGGTTGACCTCTATTTTCAGCTGTTAGCTTTTAGTGATTAATTAATAAACTACAATAATAATAGGAAACACATTATTTTCTGATGGTTTTCAATTGCATTAACTTGAAAACTTTTGTTAAAATAACAGAATTAATAAAAAGAACCAACTTTTGTTTTTGTTTTTTAAAAAGTTAGAATATAATATCTTAATATATAATATACAAATTTATCACATTTCATTTAAAGTTTAAAATACAGTAATAATTAAATAATAAAATAAAAGCATTTTTAGAAAGTGGCCTTACGAATCCCAAACAAGTATCTCATGGACTCCAGACAACTGGTCTAAAACAAACAATAGCTCTAATGCTGCTTTATGTGAATAATAAATTATAAGTAAATAAAATAAACTGATAAGAAAGTAATCTGATAGAATAATAAGTCATCATAATGACTAACCAAAGTCTTTATATGCTTGAAGTAGATTCAGTTCCAGAACTCAGTTGTTAAATCTTAAATAGTAGATTATATATATATATAATTTCTTTCCAAATTTGAACAAATTAGGTGTCAATGTAAATAGGAATGGGTTTGCAGATGTGCAACATGCATTTGTTTTGGATTCAGTGATCCATTCCAGATATATTGGATTTCAAAGTTTTGAAATTTTCCTGTGATTTTTGTATAGGGGGTCAATAAAGGATGTTTTTAAATATTGAAATTTTGCAGCAATTCAGTGTCAGGTTCACCAATGTGTCACCTGTTGTATGTAGTTCATGAAGGGATGCATGACTGATAAAAAGCTCTGACATGAATTTTTTGTACTTTGTGTCCACAAATCATTGTATAATACAACTTTGGAGTCACATACAAAAATTATCTCATCATGTCCTGTAGGTCATGTGCCAACATTGGCAGCCATTATTATATACAGAATATGAGATCATATGTGGGAGATATGTCATTATGTTTTGTTGCTTGTGTTAGTGGTGATAAGTGGTACCATTCTAGATGAACATTATCTTAGTACATTGAGCCACGAATGTTCATATTGTGGAGCATTTTGTTTCTCTCCAGAGACCTCAGTGCAATGTCATCACAATGGTAAGGTATTGTTACCACCTTATGCATCACTTTTATGCTCATGTCTATATGCCTTTCTTCTCTTGTCTTTTTTCATTGACAACATTGCTGTGAATTATTCACAGTCCTTTATGGCTTAGATATTCAAGAGCCAAAGTATCCAGGTTTTAGGTTCATTATTGGATTTACCAGCTTGTAGTATTTCAGAAATTTTGCAATCTATTTCTGTAGTTGATGTCAAGAGCATGAATATATTTCACATAGTCTAGACCAGGGATGGGCAACCTGCGGCTTGCGTAAAATATGAATAAATATATCAATTTCCCAGCTTAAGGAAGTATGCAGCAAAAATTCAAATGTTTTTTTTTCTACAACTTATGTATGTGAATAGTTTTTCCATAATGAATTTAGTTAAAATTAAAACAAAAAACCAGCTAACAGACACATCAAAACTAATTTAAAGCTAGCAATGACTAATATGTAACCAAATATTTCTGATATATTAATTTACATCAGTTCGAGAAGCTAAATTAAGTATATCTATGCTAATTTATAATTATATATGAATAAATAATTGTGATTTACCGACATTTTTTTTCCTCTTACCTCTTGTATGCGGCCCGAGTCAGTTCAAAAGTTTTGAAATGCAGCCCTTACATAGAAAAAGGTTGCCCATCCCTGGTCTAGACTATAAGTAACTTTTGATAGACATTACATTCCAATTTTTTATTCTAAATTAACTTTTTCTATTTAATGCCTTATCCTGGTGGGTACCATGGATTGTCTACTAGTAATTATGTATCTGAAAGTATTTTAATAACCCTGATCTTAATAATAATAGAAATGTTAATTCTAGTAAATTACAGATAAAATTATCATATTACTGTCTTGTAAATCATTATATCATACAAAATTCTTGTGTAAAAAGTGCAACCTTGTACATACTTTTTATTACACAAATAAAGGCAAACAGAAGTTCTAAACAAATAGTTTCTCACAAAGCAATGCAATGCAAAAGATGGTGCAAAAGAATACACTAGAAAAATTTATTAAATGGTTTCTTATTAGAATTTTATGTTGAATGAATAAATTGTTTAAGCTTTAAAGCTGTTTTATATTTAACAAACTATTCTATTTACACTATAAAATACTGATATATTGGATATGTATATTTTTCTTGCAATTGGAATATGATTAGAGTTATAATTAGTTATTCAGATTTAGTTTAAAACTTGAATTCATATTTGATCTTGTTTAAAAAGAATTGATTCTGACAAAATTTTTCACACAAATTACTGTATTTTGTTGAACCAAATTATAATCTATATTTAGTACGTATATATGTGTATGTTAGACTGAAAGACCAAAAATGCTCATTGAGCAAAAAAAATCAACCACAATGCATTCTGACTTCTCAGATCCAGCCATAACACAAATTTTGCATTGTGTGCATTTTTGAAAATGCCACAACACAAACTTCATGTTGTGGCTGGATCTGAGGAGTCAGAACATGATATAAACATTTTATTGATGATAATTATTGAAATTGGGATTTCAGCCCTCTTTTCCTTTGAATAAATATTAATTTTGTGTCAAATTTCAAAACATTTAAAAACATGATGGCAAATGTGGTTTGCAGGTCATCTGCAACCAGATAGTTACGCATGTATTAATAAAGCATCCTTATTATTTGAATATTTTTAATTTGTGAGTTAGTTTCCTTTAGGTTCTTCTGTACATACTACTGATTGAAATTATCATGACTGGAATGAAAACATAATAATGTAGTCCATCAAAAACAAATTATTCAAATTTTAAGAATGTATTATAATCAATTTGATGATTGATTGTTACTTTATATATATTTTTTACTTTCCAGACTTTGAAGAAAATGTATTTAAGACGACATTCATTAGAAGAAGATCCTGGTGTTCTGGTATTACTTGCTTGTGGGACGATTAGTAGCAGCTGTGGTCAAGTAGCTAGTTATCCACTGGCATTAGTCAGAACAAGACTACAGGCACAGAGTAAGTTGTTTTTTGCTTTCCAATTTGAGGAAAGAATAAATTTTTACATTTTGTGGTTGTTGTCTTTAACTATGTATTAACAAATTTGTAATTATATATCATACAATTATATTGAATAAGTGTTAGTTTTTGAATAACAGCATTGTATCATTGATGCAAATTTTTTTTTGTATTACAGCGGAAAGGCAAGAAAATTCTATGTTATCACTTTTTAGAACAATCGTGCAGAGAGAAGGTTTTATGGGTCTCTATAGGGGCATCACACCTAATTTTATGAAAGTAGCCCCAGCAGTCAGCATCAGTTATGTTGTTTACGAGCATGCGAGAAGGGCTCTAGGAGTATCAATGACATAGTCTATGCAGCAAACATGCTCGTGTGTTAGCTTAAAATCGTCTGATCAGTCCGTCGGATAAAAAAACAACTGAAAATAATTTATCAAAGGAGGCAGTTTGTTGAGGGAATGATAAACTCCTGATAATTTTGAAGATTAGGCATTAAATAAAGCATTTGTTTTTTTTTAATTTCCTGTGATCTAGTTATTTTCAAATTAAAGTATTTACATAAATATACCTTTAATCTGTTTTTTCACATCATTGAATTCCAATGTGTTGTTACTTATTTTGTAATTCTTGTAAAATAATGTAAATTGAATTATGTATATACTGTACATAAAAGTATATACAAGGGGAGATAAGTAAAATGCCTTTCTTCAGCAAGAGCAATTCATTTGAGATGTGCTAATTCTGTCAGCAACAATAGTTATATTTTTGCTATTATTAGATGAGTATTGCTTGTACATACATTACCTAATTTAGATATTAAATTCTTCAGTGTGTGTACTTACTATTTATTTCTTACAAATTAGATTACTGTTATAAAATGTAGGTAAACTCCTCCTTACAATAAAATGCTTTTTTATAATTGTAAATATTACTGATTGTTCTTTCTGACAAGAAAATATTTGAAAGCTTACTTATTTGTAAATCCTGTTTGTACATTAGCAGCTTTAGTTAGTTTGTCAAGATTAGAAAATATTTTGATTGTGCTTAAAATTGTTTTGACGAAATGTCAGATTTGATTTTTGTAATAATGGTACGTATTTATAAAACATTTTTATTTATACAAGTTTTTTAATTGCCCTTTTTAATTTTCATTATTTGTTATTGTTAACTACTCATCATACAGATGGATTGTTTTATAAATTGACAAAATGTTTTTGGTGGATAGTTCCATAAATTATATTACTAAAGAATATGTGATATAAATTTATGCAGGTAGAATTGTTTGTGTTGTTTTTAATTTTAAGTAATTTTGGTATGACTTTCTGCCCATTAAGAAAAGCAAGAAAGGTCCGACTAGAATTATTTTGATGCTTAGTTAATTTGTAAATTTTTTTTATTAATAATTATTCTGTTCTTGTTGTTCTGATCTCTGGAACTGTTAACCGACAAAAACATATGAATCTTTACTGCCATGTTTAGTGATTTAATGATTCATGTATGAACTATCATAGGTTATATTACATATGATCATCCAGTTGAAAAAAATTCAGAAATAAATACCTATGTTTGTCTCATGAACATGATTATGTTCATGAAAGAATCATGTTCATGAAAGGTTTAATGTAACTTATGTAGTTCAGGTTGTTTAATTCTAATACAAAAATAAAAATTTGATAAGTTAAAAACATATTTATTTAAATCTTGTTACATTAAAAGTAATTTGCATTTATTAGAGAGCTGATCAATATCTAAGCAGCATTGTTTAATTAAAACCCTTGAGTATTTGCATTAACACACAAAACTGCATACGAAGTGCCTTCTGTTTTGCAGCTTTATTAAGGGTTTAGTTGACAAATGGAAGTATTCAATGAAAGTGAATTATGAAGCATAATTTTAGACATACAGAAGTCTGTGTTATGTGAAATGGGCTGAAAACATTAAAATTTAAAGAAATGTATTGTTAGTCAATGTGAATCTTTTGAGTTTTTAATTGAAATTTTTCAAAAGTATTTGCTCTCTCTCTCTCAAAAGTATCTTAAATTTCAAATTGTTACATTATCTAAAAGTGTTTGTGTAGATTTCAGATTCAAAATTATTCTAAAAAAAAAACACTAATTGTGCGGCAGAAAAATGTATCAGTTGGTTTTCCAAATTGTTATTCTTTGTCAATAATATATATGGTTTTCGCAAGAATATTATATTAAAGAATTATGTTTATAACCACTTAACCTTATAATAGTCTGTTGCATTTATGACATGATCATAAACATTTCCAGGTGTGTTTTTAAGATATATCAAGGTAAAGCAGTTTATACAAATTATAAATATTGAATGTTATATTTTTTGCTTCTTGTGAAATTAAAAAAAGATAACTTTTCTTCAAGAATTCAATCTTAATGACAAATTTACCTTACTTAAGACATACGAAGCTTAGGAAAACATTTGACAAAATTTTACAGTAGTTGCCTTAAAAAAAAACTGATTTGTATTATAATATTAAATAATGTTTTATTAAAACTTTTCATTTATATGTATATAAAAAACATTGATAGTGTGTTCTTTCATCTAGGAAAATTTGTAATATATAAATTTTAGTTTATATAATGAGAGAAGTGCAATAACTGTGTGTTTTTGAAACTCTTCTATTTTGTATTTTCTAATAAAGACTACTATAAAAAAAAAAATAAATATGTATTGTAGTGAAATAAATATAAAATTTTTATTAAGAATCAAAAAAGTATATTTTAGACAAATACAGATCCTTTTCTTCTAAAAATTAATGTCTTTTACTCCTTTAAGACTGCAACTCGGAGAATTTTTTGACAACGAAAGTAAAAAATTTCACTCCTACGAAATTTTTTCCTGAATGTTAAAAAATGATATTAAATAAGACTTCCATAAAATTACTTGTAAATAATAGATTACTTACGTGGATGTGCATGTGCCTGGATAAATTATTTTTCTGAGCAAAGCCTTTTCCGCACCTCTGGCACTTGTAAGGTCGTTCGCCCGTATGAGTTCTGATGTGAGTATTGATGTTTCCGCTGCTGTTTGTGCTATACGAACAATAGGTACATTTAAACTTTTTAACCAAAGTTTGATTTTGTTGAAAATCCAGATTGGACGTAGTCTGGTTGTAATTCCAAAAATTTGACGAGCTGCCTAATGCATTTAGACCCGTATCTAGAAAAGTAGAGGGAAAAAATTTGAAAAAGAAATTATAAAACCTCTCTCTTAATTAAATTACTGCTAATGTATTTTCTAAGAACCCTTAAATCCTAACAATAAAATTTACAAAAAATATGATCTGAAAATCATCCACATAATCTTGTATTTGTATTCTGCCGCCGTTGTCTCTGAAATAAAAAAAAAATTATCACTTTTCTAATACAAAAAATTTTTTGATAAACAATCATTACTTACCTGTTTATTTTGACATTAAAACAATTTATCAAAAATGCAAATTTGCTCAGAAATATTAATAGGAAAAAAAAAGGACTAATAGACAGATTTTTTTATTTAAATTTATTTTTTAATTTAAAAACATTTGTGCATGATTATGAATATTTGCATGTTATTTACATAGGAATTAAAAATTTATATATAGTATACATAATTTAGTGAATAAGCTTACAAATGGTATTAAAAAAATCATGTATAATAAGTCAATTTACCAATTCTCATATATATTTATAATAAAAATATTTCAACATAATTGTTAAAACAGACAACCATACGGTACTTTTGCATAACTACAGATTAGCTAATTAAACTAGAAGTGATGTAATATTTTGCAAGGAAAAATTTGATTGCTTGTTTGACTCAACAACTTGTTGGTCATTTCTGTCAGAAATTGAAAAATTGAATTTATCAAATATTTCATTTCTATGTCCATTTTAACAATTAATTAAAAGAGAGACTAGTTATTATATAACAATTATTATTATTGAAATTATTTCTGAAGTTTATTTTGAATTAATAATTAATTTTTTATCTAAACTATTGAAAATATTTTATTATATTGATGTTTATAGTTTTAAAATTTTAAAAACAGTATTCGTTCTTCAGTTATATTCCTATTTAAAATACAGTAGCATACATTTGTTTATATACGGCTATCATCACTATGTTCACCAAATAATTTTTAATATTTATTACTACTTTAGATGATTTTATACTTGCTAATATCAAATATAAACAGAAATATATTTCAAATAAATCAAAAATTCAGCATTGTGTTCATTTTTATTTCATTTTATGAACATTTGTATCGACATTAATTATTCGTAATGCAAATAAAACATTTCATCACTATTATTTTTGTAACGGAATGAAACTCAATCTTAAAAGAAAAATATATATTGAATATAAAACGTTCAATTTTTTTTAAAGATTATTATTTGAAATGAAAGACATCATTCCAATTTATGGTTTTAAATCTATTATTATAAAAAATAATTGTTTTTTTTCCACATTTCATCTTAGTTCTGAAAGAATCATTTAAATAATTCTTCTTGGATAGAACATGTTTATTTTCACTCTCATAATGAGAAAATGGATTCCAGATTTCTTGTAAACTTTGGGTACATTACATTTTGCATTTAAATTTACATCAATATGAACATCCTACTTGGGTGACAACTGGTTTTCATACTGTACAATGATGCAAAACCCTATAAATAAAGAACTATTATTAAAATTTTAGAATAAAATGTTTTAGTTTACTAATTTAAAGTTAAAACATCAAATTGGATAATTTGCATATCTTTCTCCACAATTTATCATGTTCTTAAATTTTAACCTAAACATTGTTATTGAATTAAGCTAAGAATGCTTATCTTTTTAATTAAAAAAGGCTTTAATAATTGTTTATGTATTTACAAAAGTTTCATTCATCTGTCAGTACAAGACTATGGAAGTGGGAAGCATTGAATAATTATGGAATATGTATGTGTTGGAAAGTTGAAAAGTGAATGTCCAAAAGTTCATGTTAAGTATGTTTGGCCAGATTCTATTAAATACATCTAGTATTTTCTTACACTAAGCTATTTGATTTTTATACTGTATTTAAATTCCATGTAGTTTTCTATTTCCAATCAGAATAAAATAAAATTTTTACATTTAGAAATCTCTATCTTATCAATATCCATTGATAATTTCCATCTTTATGATCTTCATTCAGTTTGTAAATCATTAGTACCAAATCTTTAGAACAAGATGTAACTATTTATACATAATACGAAGATATTACATAATTGGATGCATAAATACTTGAAAATGGTAACTCTTTCAATATAAATTTTAAGCAGGTTAGTAATATATATTGGTACAGTATCCATTGCTTAATGCGGGGTTTGATTAATGCACGAAATTAATTGCAGCAATTCCTTTATATATGCAGCAGAAGTTTTAATTAATGCAGCTTTATCAGTTGTCTTTACCTAACTTAGATACTGTATTTGATTAACAAGATTAAGGGATACCTGCGATTGATTTACTATCTCGGTAATTGCAAAATCTTTGAAGTTAACAAAGTCTCAAATCGAGGATGCCATATATTGTTAAATTGTTTAAAATTTATATTGAAAGAGTTGCCTTAATGGGTACATAAACACTTATTGCATCATATGATATTAATCTATTGATATTAAAGAGAAAGCATTGTCTCTGTAATAATATGATTGACATTTGTTTATTGTAATTTCTTTCATAAAACAGTAGAAATACTTAGCGTAAAAAATTTGTTTTTGATATTATAGCAGTTTGATTCATTTATTATTTTTTTTTTTTTTGAATTCAAATTAATTTACTAAAAGCATTTTTAAGTTATTTTCAAATATTTACTCGAAAAAGACTTATAATAAAGACGAAAATATTTGCATTTTACTTTGTAACATCTCGGCATACAAATAAAATTGTTTTTGTGTTATTTTAAATCTTTGCCTGCTTAAATTAGTTAATTGATTCTGCTTAATATTATTTACAATAAATATCTAAAAATTTCTAGGTTACTTAAATTAAGTTCTCAATTACAATTGAAAACATTTTTGTTTTGAATCCCAATTTGATTTAATAATTAGGAACATAAAATATTCATTATTAATAATAATATTTTCCAATAAAACAATTTAATGAGACACGCAACTGCATAAATTAAAGATACACCGATTACTACATGCAGTTTGTTTGACACTGGATCGATATCATTAAGCATTGTCAATAGCTAATATTAAAGATACTTTTAAAAAATTAAATAATAGAAAACAAGAGGTAACTAATATTTTTCATTATTTCGTCATAAGATTTAGTCTGAATAATTTCAAGGAAACTTTTATTTCCTTGAAATTATTCAGACTATAAATTTTATTTCAAGGGAACTTTTTTACCTTGAAATTACTCAGACTTTAAATCTTATGACAAAATAATGAAAAAATTAGTTTAAAATATCCAAGTTTTTGAATTAAAACTTGCATATTGTAAAAGTAGTCACAGTACTAATAACTTCATAAGAATTTAAGCAACTTTAGGAGCAATCTTACTACTTACATTACAAATATATTACTTTGTTATTAAAAAAATAATAATGTTTTTTACAATAGTTTATCATTAGCATCTCGATGCTTAATTTGACACAAATATGTCACGAAAATAATGACCAATGTTTTTGAAATATGCCATAATATTACCACATAATCACCTAGCAGTTTTAATTTGATTCATCTTGGGCACAATAACATTTGCTGCAACTTGCTTCATTATTTATATTTTAAATAACTAATAGCATAATTGTTGATCCCAATATAAATGAAATGCAATAATTATATTATAAAATTTTACATGATATTTCATGAAAATAAAAGAGATTCACCAGATGTTAAAATGTTTTTTTTTTTTTCTATGTTTAGGTTTAAAAATTATACTTTAAATTTGTTTTTCTCTCCCTAATGGCTGAAAACATCAGAGTTGTAAAATACTGAGGAACCTCAAAAGAGAAAATTTCCAGGAATGGAAGGATGGAGATAAGAATGAATAGAAATGGTTTGTTGTTTCCAAAGAAACTGTAGTAAAATGGCATCTATGGAATCAGTATGGTGCTGGATTACTGGACTCTCTTAAAATTCGATACATTATATGCAACTGAATATTGCAGACATTAATGTGCATTTTGTACCTGTGCATAATGCTGTTATATGTTTCTGAATTACATACGTATGCTCTAATCATTCTGAAGATGATACAATGCATGACTAACATTGTGCAAGGATTGATTGAAAGATAAAATGTTTATTACCAATGCTTATTTCTGGAAGTCAATAAACATTTTTGTTTCAAACCTGGAACCTCTTTGGCTTCAGATTCAAAAAGAAAAATGTTTGTTAAATTTAATGCAAAAACAAATGTTCTCTAATATCAAGAAATTCACATGTGTATTCCATCTCAGCCAATGGGATAAAAATAAAACTAGTTTGCACTGTAAATGACCAGATGGGGGTGTGAGTAGCGTAATTGGCAACATCTGCACAGTAAGCAGGAGTTGTAGGTTCAAGTCCCACTCTGGTTCAATCTTTCCTAACAGAATATTCTAAATTTAAATTACAAATTAAAGTTTATTTCTAATTATTAGGCTGCCATTTAACAATAAATTTAACTGCCTACCTACAACCAAATTGCTTTACATCTAATTAAATCAGCTTTGTTACAGACCAATTAATAATCAAATTGGGTTGGTGTGTATGTTGTTATATAAATTCAGGAATCCTTGTTAATTCGAACTCGGATAGTCAAAATCCCATTAGTTCATAATTGTACTTTTGTCCCAGCTGGGGATATAGAGATTTATGTATTAAGGAATTTGGTTCATTTGAAATATGGCTACTTCAAAATATGAAGTGAAAATACTGTCCAAACTGTGCTATGCATAGGTTAACTTGTACATTTTACTCTAAGTACAGTACCTACATGCTATAAGAGAACAATAGACCAAGAACAACTCTAATCTGGTCAATATGACTTTGCTTTTACAGTAACACATTTTCAGGTGTCACCTTACATATGGACTACCCCCTTTTTTTCTTTTATTTCATAAAATACGGTTGGGTTTCAGGATTGTGAGATTGGGCTACAAGTAGCAGATTGAGATATTTATAGGGCTCTAGGCTATTACATTTGGGTAACTTACTACTTTTTGGGCCACTTTAAAAATAATTTGGGTCACATTTTGAGGAATTCTGCTTTACTTTTTATAAAATCTATCTGTGACCTGTGAGGTTCTCACCTTACACATGCTGTTTGCTTGCAGTTTATTTATATTATTATTATTATTATTATTATTTATTAATTAACAAAAATAGCATTTTGTGTAAGTAGCTATATTCCATTTGCTTAATAAATTACAACCAGGGCTGTAGAGTCGGAGTTGTGGAGTTTTGGTGTTTTAGTTGGAGTCGTCAAAAAATCCACCGACTCCGACTCCTTTTTTACTTCCCAACTTGTTATGTATATAAAACGGAAAAGTATTGAAATTGTGTCAAATTTGACCTTCCAAGTTTTTTTTGGCAAATCTACACGTTTGGAGACCTCCCAAACCCCTCAAAAAAGTCAATAAAAGGGGAAAAATTTGCGCGCCTATGTGTGTTGGCGTCTAATTTGTTTAATTTCTTTATTTTCTGTTCTGAGATATTAAACAATATCTCAGAATGTGTAAAGTTTAAGAAACAAAATGTGACACTGTATCTTGTGTATAAAGGGGCATTAATACTATTAAATTATGGTTCATAATTAAAGGATCAACAGGGTGAAGACATAAAAGTGGTCATGTGTCATATCTCTTAATGAATATTTTACTCATTATTAGCATTCAAAATTTAAATAAAAAAATAAAATTCGTCCATACCCTCAAAGTAAGCTTTTTTGTCATTTTATAATAGTACAGTAAAACCCGTTAAGATGTTAGAATGTATATGGGACAT